TAGTATAATGTATAATGTGTGAATTTAAACGAAAAACATGGTGAAGGAAGACGACTTTCTTTTATTGATGCATAGGTGCAAGCTTTCGGGTAAAAACCCTTCAACAGGCGAGCAATGAAGCGCGACTTATAAGAACTATGGTACAAATGTTGAAGGGTTTTTACCCGAAAGCTTGCACCTATGCATCAATAAAAGAAATTCGTCTTCCTTCACCATGTTTTTCGTTTAATTTCAAATCAGGAAGAATTCTTTATCTATATTTGTAAATGTGTGAATTATCAATTAGTTTATTATTATATATCCCTATTGTATACACACGTAGTACAGGCCATGATAATCATGGTGAGTAGTAGCTGCCGATTGATTTTGGCACTGTAAGTGCGCGCACCACATGTAAAAAAACATTAATTACACTGATAGACAAAACTTAAGGAAGTTGTACCTTATAGCATATATATATCTCTCAGAGTTATTTTCTGAATCCCGATATATATATGCTATAAGGTACAACTTCCTTAAGTTTTGTCTATCAGTGTTATTATTACCAATTATTGTTTAGTTAAAGTATGTTACCAAAAATACTTGTAGATATAGAGAAAAAAGTGTCAGGAAACTGTGTATAAAGGTAAACAAGGAGTTGTGTGAAAGAGAGAGAGAGTGTATATAGACTTACTCTCCTGGATTCTGCAGTTGGGAATGCACCTTCTTCAGCTGCGGGACTTGGGGATCTGATCGATGGACTCCTGGAGGTGGGGACCCTGGATATGAGATCAGGGAACAGGGGAACGGCGCTTGGTGGAGGTGCAATCTGGGAGACCCTTGGGGACACAGGGGCCGATCTGACGGTCTGAAGAAATCCTTGTGGACTCTTCTGAATCTCCTTGGACTTAAGATAGTTGGGTGATGTTGGGAGGGAATGGATGGTTGGTTTCTCTTTCGTGTTCTCCTCCGAGCTGCTTGTTTCGTGGTCCCATAGATTTCCTAACGGTCCTCTTACCTTTTTCTTAGGATAGAGGCTGAAATCTCGTTGCAGCTGTCTCTCAGAATCTTCTTTCTGAATGATATCATTGAACTTTGGGAGGAACTTCGGGCTAACAAGTGCTGGTGCTAGGGATGGTTTGTTTAGACTGAAGGTAACAAGTGGTTGAATCTTGCTGATTGTCTGTAGTTTGGGTTGTAACCCACTGTTGCCATTTAGTGTGTTTTGTACATTGAATGTTTGGAAATTTTTTGGTGGATTTTGTGTTTCAGTAGTTTGTTGATTAGTTGGATTAAATAGATTTAGAGGCTTGATTACGGGTAGTTTGAACTTGCCTGGTGGTATGAAACTGAAGTTGGTGCTCTCTTGGATAATAGGGGCGGTTTCTGGAACGGGACGTGGAGGTTTAGGCTTGCGAGGTAATGTTGCGAAGGATGGCACGTCGGCTGAGAGACGTAAGGTCAGTTGGCGAAGACGATCTGACGGGGAACTTAAGCTGCGATTCAACGTCGACGCAGGTCGCTGTGAGCGCTCAAAACTTTCAGGATTCAAGGACGCCAGGATGTTTCGTATTTCATGAAGGTCTTCAGGAAGACTCTTGGGACGACGAGGGAGGGTATGGGTGTCACCAGGTGTTAGAAAGGACCGTACGTCGCGTGGAAGTGCTTCTGGAAGGGACGGGTACATCGCTAGGCGACTGCAAGGTGAAGAGCTATTCGAGGCTTGGCAGGACTCCAGACCCGCCGCCTCGCTAAATTAACAACGGGTAAACACGGCCTTTCCCTTCCCCACCTGTCACAGCGACCCCGACCAAGGCTGCTTTGTTCTCTTCTCTGTCAACTCCCTGGGTAAATGACACTGGTGACAGCCCGCACAGTACTGCATTACTAGAATACTTAGTAGAACCCACCACGGTGGATACACGCCCAAGGAACAATGGAAGAAAACATAGAACTTGCCCATTGATAACAGTTATACAATCCCCGAATCACTTGATCTTAAAAGAAACTGAAAACACACAAAGAGCATAAAATATCAAAAATTGATAACACATATATACAACCTCGCGTTAAAAAGTAAACATTCATAAAAAGACAAAATATCAAAATTGTATTGATAAACTGTCAAACAACTCTTGCTGACAGCTACTCAATTCTACGTTAAAGTAAACAAAATAAATCTAAATTGTGTTTTGGTGACAGCTAGACATTGGTTGATGCCATCCGAACAATACAGTGACATATGTCAACTCTCACACACAAAATATCGGAATTGATAACAACTCCATAATCCCTGCATTGACAAGAATCACACACAAAATAAATAAAAACCTAATTTTTGATTAATGATTATAAACAAACACGTTAGTAGAAAACAAATACAAAACTAAAGTACAAAATATCAAAATTACTACGAAAACTCATGGACAAAACTTAAGGAAGTTGTACCTTTTTGCATATATATCGGGACCAAGACAATAACTCTGAAAGATATTACAATAACCTTTATTGAAGACACGAGATAACCAAGTGTGAACAAAATTGCCTCTGTCAGCTTCAAAAAAAGACAACCGGTGACATAAAAATATGATACTTCCTTAAGTTTTGTTCATGAGTGTATTGTTATGATAAATGTACGATTTTTTTGTTATATTAATTTTAATCTCTAGAAAATTGACACACTATTTATATATTACAAATCAAACTGGAAAAGAAATAAATTCATTTAAGTCAGCTTTATGGAAACACTATCAGCTCGACGGTGGCGCTCAAGTGGCGGAAGTGGGAACTAAAATTACCCCAATATTATTTTTCTCCCGTTTAAAGAGGAATCAAATGTATGTTATATTTATATATAAACCTGGCGCAAATATTGTAGAGTAAAATTTAGTTCACACTTGCGCCACTTGAGCGCCACCGTCGATCTGCTATTAGGTCCATAAAGTTGACTTCAAAGAATTGTCACTTTTGATTTCTGTTTTTGTACTTCAGTAAAACTACGGTGGGACCTCTATATAGAGAAAATATCTTTTTTTAAACGAAGTTTTATTAAATTAGTACATTTTTAAAATACCTTTCAATAGATCTGAACAAACGAAATTAGAAATAACGTCTGATTATATAAAATAGCGTTAAAAATTTGTATAAATTTCCAAAAATGAATGTTTGTGACAATTGACAATTAAAAATGGTTTGTTAACATCTAGTCAATGGTCAAGAGAGAGTTTACAAAGTTTAGAATAGTAGAGAAAATATATACACCAGACGAGACCTTCTCTGAAGGTACGTCTGGATCCTATCAGTAGCTTAGAATCGTCTTGATAAATGTTTGTGTGTATATACTAATTATTATTGTAATTGGGGATAAGGGGAGTATATGGATTCTAAAATGTTTCTCATTGCAGGAAGGATTGAAGAAGTTTTGAAAACATCTAACAATCACCAGAAGGGACCCTGCTATTCTCATCGGAGTTCTCTCGTACTCCCCAATGAATACAAAGAAACCTCTTGGAACAATTCCAGTTACGTTTTTAGAAACATCAGAATGTTTGCCCTCTAATTCAACTTATTCTTTTATTTATTTTTTAAACTCTTAGACAACCATTTCGAGGGTCGAAGATAAACTAAAACTACACTCATGGACAAAACTTAAGGAATTGGAAAGTCTTGGATGTCGTCGGTCGTCTTTTTTTTTTTTTTTAAAGAGGCAGAGGCAATTTTGTTTACACTTGGTTATCTTGTGTGTCTTCAATAAAATTTACTGTGTATCAAATATCTTTCAGAGTTATTGTCTGAATACTGACATACATGCTGAAAGTTAAAACTTCCTCAAGTATTGTCCATGAGTGTATATATGATATAGACAATTTGTCCTCTAATTATCTCACACAGAAGAAAGAATTGAAAAAGAAGTTTCAATTCTTTCACTTAATAGATTCCTGCAAGTTACAGAGTACTAAAACTCCGCCTTTGCCAGTCCCAAGCCCGGATGAAAAAGGAGGAGAGGGAGCAGTAACAAGCTCACTAAAAAACCCGGTGCTCAGCTGACCCGGCTGATAGTACCCTGTAAGGGCTCCTAATCCAGGGATACAGGATGAGCAGCGTTTGTACTCCATGTTAGGAGCGGCTGCACATGGCGTCTGTTTCTCATGTCAGAGGCGGCCATTTATTTTGGAGCTAAGTCGGCCTGCCACTGAGTAGTGCTCCCAGTCTTAATGACAAAGGCAGATGCATTCTACTTCACCCAGTCATGATCTCAAGCTTTACAAGCTTGATACCTTGATATGATTGAGTGGAGATAATAAAGAAGAAGATGATTGAGGGGTTGGTTGAATTGTGGGGCAATTTCCGACAGACATGACCTTAGATCGAATCCCCCACATTAGACACTTTTTGTTTTCAAAATAAAAAAATTAGTCCAATGTCCCCCGATTCTTACAAAACTCTAACCCCAACTGTGAATGCAAGTAATCAAACGGAGCTCTGGCACATTTGTAAGTAGAAACGTCGAGCTGTTTTCTACATGTGTACACATGTGGTGTACTTACAGTAAAAGTAGTCGTTAACGAAGCTCTGGCACATTTATAAGTAGAAACGTCGATCTAATTTCTACATGTGTAGCAATGTAGTGTACTTACAGTAAAAGTAGTCGTTAACGAAGCTCTGGCACATTTATAAGTAGAAACGTCGATCTAATTTCTACATGTGTAGCAATGTAGTGTACTTACAGTAAAAGTAGTCGTTAACGAAGCTCTGGCACATTTATAAGTAGAAACGTCGATCTAATTTCTACATGTGTAGCAATGTAGTGTACTTACAGTAAAAGTAGTCGTTAACTACCCACCATATATTTGCAGAAATTATATATTTAAACTTATGTTAATAGGATATCTTTTAAATGTTCTTTAAGATTTATAAGTTTGTGGGTTTGTTCAAGGGCCACACTACATTTATATGGAAATAGAATAGGAAAGGTAATATATATATTTTCAATAAATTAAAGGTGAGATAATTTGAAAGCAAAAATATAATAAATGGCTTATTAAAAAAAAAAAAAAAGAAGCCCGACGTTGCTTAACTTCGGTGATCGGACGAGAACCGGTGTTTTCAACGTGGTATGGCCGTAGGCATTAGTTTGTCACTAAGACATCTATTTAACTTTACGATAGGAAATTTTAAAAATAACTCATATTTTTCAATGTTTTAAATTTTTCTATCTTTTTTATTTTTTTTTATTTTTTTAATAATTTGGAGATCCAAATAAAAATAAATCTACTGAGGAATTTAGAAGCGACGTCATTTTCCGATAAAAAAAAATAAATAAAATTAATTTCTTTGTATTTATAATTTCTACACTAAAAACACTAATTAATTTTGTGTATTTTTAAAGTTTGAGTAAAATGTATAGCTTCTCACTCGTGCCTTCAATAATAAACGTTAAAAAATAAAACTGATAAATTATCAAGATGACGTGGTGCCATCTATCGTTACTAATTAGAACTATTTTTAAATAAAGATGGTGACGTATGTGAAAAACAAATATAGCTACACATAATACATGCGTAGTGTGTGTATTTATATTAAATTAAATAACTAAATAAATAATGAAAAATAATAAATAATATATTAGTATCATAAATAAATTTTAAGTTATTTATGCATACCTAAAGAGAACAATAGACATAACCCGGGTTGTGTTGAACACCAACTACCCGGGCTGTCCAGCAGTCTAGTATAGAGTTCTAGTCACGTAGAGCTGTTGACCAGGAATGCTGACAGCCAGTCTGGGAGACAGAACAATGATCAAACTGAGACAAGTCCAAGTAGTAAGACTTTCTGTATTCTGTGCTTCAGAAACTTCAGATTTTAGTCTCTTTATTTGAATTCGATCATTAATTCCATTCATATGTGAATATTTAAAACTCTATTTTTCATTAATTTTAATTATTTTATCCATTCGCGTATGTTCTAATATCCCCCCAACACCCCTTACTTCCCTTGGTGTCAAAAAAGCTTCCACCAATATCATAATAGAAATAAATGGAGAAATACAAATTTACGACCATTGTAACATTTTGGCTCTATTAATAACCTAAAAACTTGTCTTTCTATATATATTATTATTACCAAAGGAAGTTCCTTTTTCTTCCATTATTCTATCATTTATGTATAGATGTGTTATTGATCCAATAAAGAATAATTTATTCCTATATATCACTAGAATTCATCCTAATTAACGATATATCACTGAAACAGACGATATGTAAATTGTGGAAACATATTTATTTGAATCAAAACTGAAATTGGAAATTGATTCATTTTATGGACCACGTAGTGACTCGACGGTGGCGCTCGAGTGGCAGAAGTGGGAACTAAAATTGGCTTTGTGTTATTTAAGCCTTTTAAAAGTAAAATTTCGAAATTAGTAAAATATTTGTGAAATTATTAATTATAAATAAAAAATATGAATATGATTTTACTAATTTTACTTTAAAAGGGGCGTCAAAATTACAAAGTAAATTTTAGTTCTCACTTTTGCCACTCGAGCGCCACCGTCGAGCTGCTAGCAGGCCCAACAAACTGAAGATTTAAACAAAAGGTTTCAATTGGAAATATTGGTTACTTTTACAATATGGTGTTTATGATTTTTTTCTCATTGTTAACATCATCTGACTATTCTATTCACGGCCTAAAAGTATTGTATATATGTGTCATAATATATACTCCTTCAGGAATAATAAAGTAAACCTACAAGTAAACCCAGAGTGAGACAGGAGGGTAAAGTCCGGTCGCTTGAGACATCAGCGACATTCCAAGGGGTGACTACTGGGGTCCATCAGTTAACACCTTGGAACTTTTAGGACAGTTGAGGATTGTGTGCGACACGAACGGCCGTCCGGCTCTTCCTCTCTCTCTCTCTCTCTGGTTGCCTGGGTTCCTCTTCCAACTTGTGGTGTGATTATTTCTCTTCCTACCTTATTATATTGCCACATATATTTGTATAGACAAATGTAAAGACATACATGTATGACAGCGCAAGTGTCCATAGGGGGACATAGCGCTTTAAATTGAAATGAAATAAAATGATTGGATTCAATTTGTGGGGTTTTGATTTAATTTGTCAAGAATTCCTCAGTTCACTGTCGAACTGCTTTTCACATGTGTAGAAATGTGGTGCACTTACAGTAAAAGCAGTCGCTAACATGATTATCATAGCCTGTACCACGTGCACTATGGATAATAATAAAAATTTTAAAAATCTCATTATAGAGATGCATACTCTACCTAGCATTAATGAATCTTCTAAAATGAGTGGTAATAACCTTAAGAAATATTTCGCTTCAATATTAATAGAAAATTGACCAGCCACTGTTATACTCTGTGGTTATTGTAGTGAAGTATTTATTATTTTACACTAGTATTAACAGAGTATCATTTTTTAATATTTATATTTTACTATTCTGTAAACGTCCTTCATTATTTATCTTTTGTTTATCCTTCATAATTTGTCTTCTTCTTTCTTATCTCCATACTGGGTGAAATGGAATCCGTCTGCCTTTGTCATCAAGACTGTAATCTTTAATTAGCAGCCCCGTAAATAAAGATATTTTCTCTCTCCTTCATTCCTTACCTTTTGTTTATCCTTCATAATTTGTCTTCTTCTTTCTTATCTCCACACTGGTTGAAGTAGAATGCGTCTGTCTTTGTCATTAAGACTGGGAGTACTACTCAGTGGCAGGCCGACTTAGCTCCAAAAGAAATGGCCGCCTCTGATATGTGGAACAGTCGCCATGTGCAGCTGCTCCTAACATGGAGTACAAACGCTGCTCATCCTGTATTCCTGGATTAGGAGCCCTTACAGGGTACTATCTGCCGGGCCAGCTGAACCCAGGTTTTTTAGCGAGCTTGTTACTGCTCCCCCTCCTCCTTTTTCATCCGGGCTTGAGACCAGCAAAGGCGGAGTTTTCATAGTTTGTTCTTGCCTTAAATAAATTGCTGTGTTATCCTGAAGTTTGTCTTCCCTAATTTTCCACGTGGAAATATAGCCTAATAATTGATTAGTTGATATTTCTGTAGCATCTACAGGAAATGTCCTAAAATAACGGAGTTTCTGTACTAAATTTATTCTAATACGGACCGTAATAAATTATGTTTTGTTCGGATTATCCATGTTTTTATGTAACTTCATGTTAAGTTTCGACTTTGTGCTAACTTATTTTGAATGGGACTAATTGTCCCCAGAGGACCTACGGCCCATAACCGAAAATTTCAAGTCACGTTTGGACCTGTGTATCGTGGCTAAGGGAGGCCACTTTGAAACCGGCTGAATTCTTAGTTGGAAATTTTACCGGGAGGATTTTGATCTAAAAAGACAAACATCACCTCTCCCGTCAAAGCTAGACGTCATCTATTGACCGTCACCGCAAACTAACGGCCTCGAGTCGGCGACAAAGCCACAACACCAGCTTTGGCAAAACTGTGATCAAGGTTCCATTAGATCCTGTGTGGATCTCATTGAATAAAGTCCGTCCTAGGCTGACGAAGGCCATTAGCCCGAAACCATGGTCTCTAGGTGGATGTTTTTCAGTTTGCCAAAGCTGGTGTTGTAGCTTTTTCACCGACCCGAGACCGCTAGTTTGCGGCGACGGTCAATAGATGGCGTCTGGTTTTGACGTCATTTTGACGGGAGAGAGATGACCTTTGTCTTTTTAGAAATTGCTAGTTATTATCCATATTATTGTAATGCGTTGTTAATTTGTTCAATATTTTTTGTTTAATAAAACAATGACTAAAAATGTGTAATTTCGTTATTTTGGATCACCCTGTAAGATGTCAAGATGAAAGTGAATGTACGATGGAATTTACTAACAAATAAATAATCGTAAATTTTCCACAAAATCGTCTTTGACCAATAGTGGTTGAAGCTTAGATGTGTATTGGAGAAATTCAGTTTTCACTTTCTTTGGATGAGTGGTAGAAACCAAGTCAATTTTCTACAGCCATCACTCAGGATCGAATCTTTTTTTTTTACTTATCCTTTTATTAGTCTATATTAGACAAGATCTTGGAGGTCATGCTCGTAAAGAAGCTCAAGAACTCTTCTTGGTTCACTGTACAGGGATCCTTTGTCCTTTCCAATACAATTTAGTATATGTTGGGGAGTGGCCTCTTCAGTTTTGCACCTAGTGCACATGGGGAAGCTTTTGGCTCCCTCTTTATAGACTAGAGGGCGCAGGTGACCAGATTTTCATCTGGCCAACAGAATTGAATCATTTTTTTGGGAACTTTTTTTTAGGAAGAAATAATTTTCTCAATGGCCCCTGATTCTAGCAAAAGTCCAACCACAACAGTAAATGCAAACAACCAAATGTGGCTCTGGAACTTTGTAAGTGAAAAAGTCAAACTGCATTCTACATATGTAGACATGTGGTGTACTTACAGTAAAATACATCACTAACTACCCACCATGATTATCATGGCCTGAACCCACGTGTACTAGAGATTTAAAAAAATGATTAAGAGAAGTAAATTGGGTCTGTTTAAGTTGTTAAGACTGGGAGAACTACTTAGTAATAGGCAGACATATAACCAATATAAAATGGCTATGTGTGGTGTACCTACAGTAAAAGCTGTCGCTAACTACCTATATAAGAAACACAAGGTAATAAGACCAAATCCAAATAAATAGAGTGTGACATTTCGGTAACAGCATTGTTACCATCTTCAGACAAAAGTACTTTTGTATTTTCAGTATTGACATTCAGTACTTTTGTCTGAAGAGGGTAACAATGCTATTGCTGAAACATCACACATTATTAATTTATTTGGATTTGGTCTTATTATCTTGTGTTTATAATCTATAATCCAAATTGTGCCTTATCATCTTTTAATGCATTTTTAAAGGGAAAGGTGCCTCTTTTTGGTACATGAATACCATCGTCCCTCAATTATATATATTGTCTATACACTCATAGACAAAAAAAAGTGGAAAGTCTTTGATGATGTCAGTCATCTATTTTTTTTTTTAAGGAGACAAAGGCTGTTCACACTTGGTTATCTTGTGTGTCTTCAATAAAGGTCACTGTAATATCTTTCAGAGTTATTGTCTGAATCCTGATATACAT